CTAGTCACCGTGCAGTGACCCTGAGACCATTTGCTGGGCAGTTAGCCATCAGGTCAACCCCCAGAAACAGCGCAAGGTGGATCTAACTGTAACCTGCAGAAGAGGAAAGGTTTTCCCCCGTTCGCTGAGGGTGGGCCCCTTACAGATTCATTCTGTATCTGCCCCTCTCCTTTCCGCCCCTCCCTCCCAGTTAAAATGGTCCGAATAAAGTTTGATCAGTAGCACGTCCTCTGTATTCACCTTCCTCATAAAGTTGCTGAAATCAGCAAAGGGCACTGTGGAACGTGGTGCTGGAAGGGACTTCAGGGGACACCATGTCTCGCCCCTCCCATCATTCCGATGAGCTGAGGACCAGCCGTGCGGGATGACTCAGGGCCGACAGCCTCGCCCCCCTACCCGCTTCTGCCCCTCACAGTGGAGTCAGTGCGCGTGTTAGCGACGTCCCCCACGGCTCACGTGGGCACCCTTCCCTGGGCACGCTGTCACCAGACCTTGGGTACCAGAGCTCCTCACCGGCCAGTTAGGAGGGAGTGTTTCCGTCCAGACAAGCCATGCAGCCCCTGGGAGGAGAGGAGCAAACAGTGTCCCAGGAAGTCCTCAAACAGAGCGCGCTCGGGGAAGCTCTTGTGTCCTCGTCACGGTTCTTCAGAAAGTCTTCATGAGGTAAGAGTGCACTTTGGAAAGATACCGCGTGACCGGAACCCACAGGCACTTAGGTCACCAGAACCTGCTGTGTGACGTCATGGGTTCCTGTCATTCCTGTCAGGGTGGCCGTGTGTGTCCACTGGCCAGCAGGCATATGTGACGGTGACAGTCTGTGGGTCACCTCGTAGTTGTAGCTGCAAAGTCCTTCCAGCCAGCCACCCCCAACAGGTAGGGGACCGGAAGCCCAGAACACGCATGGACTTCGCTGAGTCCACAGACACACGTGGGGCGCTCCCACGGGGCAGGCGGGTGGGCTGCGGGGCCCCAGCGGCCGTCCCGAGGCCTCGAGAAGCTTCTGATGTCCTGGGGCATCCGGGAGCACCAGCAGGATCCGCCGGAGTCCTGCGCTCACATCCGCTGCCCAGGCTGTCACCAGCCGGGTTCCCGGGGTTTGCACACTGCCCTCCAGGCGGGCCTCCGCCTCCCGCTCCTCCTCTCCACGGCCTCCCCAGCCCCACCGTCCTCCTGGGCTCCCGAGTTCAACGCTGGCCAAACCCTCCCCCCGGAGCCGGCCTCCCCAGCTGCAGGGAGGGCCTGTTGTCTCAGAGAGCAGGGCTCTGTTGTCGCCTGGGTCCAGCCTGTGGTCACTCTGCAGCCCGGCGTCCGATTCTGGAAAGTGGGTCGTGAGAGTGGTGCCTCCAAGTGGCCCCTAGAGGCCCCGTAAGGACTCAGCAAGTTACTGTGTGTCTGAGAAGGGGGCCCAGCAGGTGTCTCCTGGGCTGTCACCTCGCCACCCTGTCTGTCGGGCTTTCCTCACTGTCCAGTGCACGCAGCCACCCTCCTGCTCCATGCGGACCCTGCGCCTCCCGACTCCTGCTGTCTTCCTGGAGCCCGGCTCTGCCTGCATCAGCCTGTCTCGGGGGTGGGGGGTGCATACAGGACCACAGTGGCTGGAGGTGCTGGTTTTTTTAACCCGTAATCCTATTGCCCAAACCCAGTGGTTCTGGCTCGCCTGTGCACCGGGTCACCCACGAAGCCGGTCCAGCCCTATGCTGCATCCTTCCACCAGAGGTGCAGACGTTTTGGTCTGGGTGTGGCCTGGGCGTGGGGACTCCCTGTTCAGAACTAAGCAGGGCTGAGAACCAGTGTCCTGCATGAAGGCGCCTCTGCTTCATCCTGGTCTCGGTGCCTCTGACTTGTCATCACTTACATCTTGATTCTTCTCAGCATGTGGAAGGCTCTGTCTATGTGTGCGCAATCCTTCTCTCTCTGATGGGCCATCATTTCTTTAGAGAATGAGGCATCAATTTCTTAAAACATCTGCGCCAGGAGGACAACAGGCATGCGGGCCAGCCAGAGCCAGGCTGCTGCTCTCGGGGATACGGGTGTGTCCTCAGCCCGCAGATGTGTGTCCAGCCTGACGCGGGAGGCAGAACAACACCCGGGTCTTATCTCCCCTCCATCCCCGGCTCCGAGCCTGGTCCGTCCACAGAGCAGGTGACAGTTTGCATAACAAACTTGATTGGGACGCTTTCATAAGCGGTATCGAGGGCTTTAAAGAAAACTCTCGATTGCGCAGTTGGGCGCCACACCTGGCCTCACGTTTTCCTCCAGAGCTCTGGTGCTTTCCCCGGGGTCAGGGAAGAGATGGGACAAACGTGTGTCCCGCTTGATCAGATAGAAAACGACAGTGCACCTGTCGGATGCCGCCCCGTCTGGACTGCCTGCGCCCCCCGTGGGTGGGACCGGGCTGGCGTTGAGGGGGAAACGGGCGGCTCTGGAGACCTGCGCTCCATCCTCCCCCCACTTCTGGAGCCTGACGTCTTTTTAGGGAAAAGCAGATACTCATGAATCACCACGAGGGGCTTGTTACTAAGCCCAGGCAAGTTAGTGCCGCACCACAACTGCATGTCAAAAAGGTGCATCAGGGGAAAAGACAGTCAGCCAGGGTTTGGGTCCATTGGGTCGAGATTTTCCTGAGCCGGGCTGTGCCGTCTACCTCGTGAGCCTGGAAGGAATGAAGACTTCTGACGTGTTGGATGTTCCTCTGAGCATCCTGCTGGTCAGTCTGGCTGAGAGCTGGCAGGCCCATGGACAGGGAGGAGAAGATGCAGAGAGGAAGAAACCACTCCTTCAGAGCCAGCGTGGGGACCCTCCGCCCGGGGCAGGAGCGGAGGCCGCTCCCAGGTTCCCGGGAAAAGGCGGGACCCGAGACCGTTCGTTCCAAAGAATCGACATGACATTTAATTTGTTCCTCGGGAGAACTCGAAGCTGCTGTGTTTTCTGTGAAAGCTGCGTTTGGTTGGCCCTGGTGTCTTAGTCTTGCAGGGTTTTAGCGTGAGTGGCATCTTCTTCCTGCCTCGCTGTTAATTACGGCCCCAGGGACACTCCAGCTGTTGCCAGGAGATGGCCGGCAGGTACCAGCAATTTTTCTCACAAGATGGTTTTTGGAAATGATTCCAAAAGCTTATTTGAAATGACCTTGAGAATGTGCTTCAGGAGAGTCCGAGGGTTCTGACACCCCAGGTTTATGCTCCTTGTGAGGCGTGGCTGGACCCCCATGTCCTGGTTCCAGCAGGTGGAATGGATTCCCTCAGCCATCAGGGTGGGTTCCTGGAAGTCTTGATGATTTCGCTTGAATTTCTGCTTAGCAACAACCAGAGCAAAGGCCAACTGGAACTCTCTTAGCAGCAGTTAAGTCTGCAGACAGGAAAGAGAAAGAATATTTTATACTCTCCCTTTCCAGAAGGATACGTGGTGATAATCAGGAAATGAACCTCTAAATGGCATGGTAAAGAGAAAAGCCAGTTCCTCCTTTGCCTTTAGCCTCTGAAGTCCCTCAAAAGGCTGAAAAGAAATCCCTTAAAAACGGGAAACATGCCAGTCAATTTCATAAAAAAAATTTAAAAGATTACGTAAAGCGTACAGCACTGACGTGGACAGAGCTCATTTCCCAGCACGTAGGAAGCCTCACAGCACCACTGCAGGGCGTTGAGAAGGAATCAGCAGCATCTTTAGACCACTTGAAGAGCGTGCATCCCAGGTGCACAGAGGACACGCTCCACCCACCTGCGCCCGCACCGGTGGCCCTGCCTCCCGGCACGCTCAGCTGCCACCCAGCATCTCTTCTGAGCAGGCTCAGCTGATCCGGGAGATCTCTGGGGCTGAGGGAAGCCGCTGTGGTCGTCCAGGACTCGCTGGCAAGGCTGCGCCCCGCAGCCCGCATCTCAGGCAAAACCAGGAAGCACAGGGGGCCGGGCGTTGCTGCTGGAGAACGCTTGGGCAGACCCCGCGGCCGGAGCATCCCCGAGCCTGCCTGGTAGGTAGGGGAACCCTGCTCCCTGGCTGCGTCCCTCAGGCAGGAGCAGCAGCTCGAGAAGCAGCCTGGCTCTGGGTGTCATCCGAGCCCCCTGTGACATCGGGCGTGCGGCTATGTGGCTAGGCGCCCCTGACCTGGGTGACCCGGGAACATAGAGAGTGAGAGCCTCAGAGGAAAGGGATCACCGCTGAGGAAAGGCGGCCGCCAGCAAGGAGACGTCTCAGGCCACTGGCTCTGGTTCTGCTCTTTATCCCGTTACCCAAGGCTGCTGACTTGCTGGGAGCCGTATTTAGATACGAAATCTCCGGTCCAGCTTGGTCCAGGGACTCGCGCACCTTGGGTGCAGCCAAGCTGGATGGAAGCTGCAGCTCCCTCAGACCATCACACTGACCCCCCACCCCGAGCGTCGGGGCCTGCACACATTCATGCCAGAGAGACTTGGGACATTGAGGAGCGCTGCTGAGACCAGTACGGGGGTAGGACTGGCCTCCCTGAGAAGGTAGCCCCTGAGGAAACTGAAGGAGGAGCGAGCCACTGGGAATCTGGAGGGGGTGGGGAGCATTTGTTCTGGGCAGAGGGCACAGCAGGAACAAAGGCCCTGAGGCAGGAGCTTTGCTGGCGCACTCAGGGAGCAGCGAGTGGTGGTTGTTCGTGGGAAGGGGGGGAAGGTGCTGAGGAGGGGTCCACGGGCAGCTCCCCGAGGGTGTTACTCAGGGGGTGACCCGATACAGTTCTTGTCTGGAGAGATGGCACTGGCTTCTGCAAGGAGGCTGTTCCTCGGGGGAGGGGGCAAGCTCAGTGACATCTCACCCACCATGTTCGCCCGACACCCGGCTCGCAGCAGGCAGTGATGTGCGTCTGACTGGGGAAGGAGATGTGGTGATGGGGCCCCTGGAGAGGCACTCAGAACCATGGAACTAAGCCCTACTCAGGCTACACAGGTGACACAGAGACACCCTCCTCGAGGGGTCAGTCTGCCTGGCAGGGGGAGAAGAGGGAGCAGGTGGAATTCTGACCTGCAGGCATGTATCCCACCCACCTGAGAGCCCCCAGACTCACACCAGCATTGGGTGATCATGAACCCCTGAGCCAGCATGAAGCATCTGGTGGACACCTCTCTCTCGTATGTGGCACAACTTTGAAGAGACTGAAAATGGCTCCCAGTTACCAGAAGAGCTGGGCCTGGAGGCGGGCGTCCCCAGCACACCGTGCTGTCGGACTCAGCCTTTAGAACAACAGGGAATAGGTACAGCTCCTCACACCACGTGGAGGTCTGCCGTGTGCTGTGTGCGCGGCAGCCTCTGCCCTCGCAGAGCAACACTGAGCCCTTCAGTAGTTTTGAAACTGAGAAATGTTGGTTTTGTCCACCGTCAGATCAAGTCCAGTTTCTCCAAACAAGGCTCGTTGCCCCCCACCCTGAAAGGACCCTGCTGTGGGGAACACACTGGATGAAGCGAATGACAGGGTGCGGGGCCAGGGAGCCCTGCTTTTGTGGCAAAGGCAAAAGTGTCCCTCCCCAAGGCAGAAAGGACTGTCTTAAAGGATTTTAAAGGATATTTTATGGGATTGATGGCCTGTGAAGTGTGTGCCACAGACGCATCCCCGCTTTGGCACAGGTCACTGAGAAGCCTAAGTGAAAGCTACCAAAGTACTTCCTACTGCAGGACGTGGATGGTGCCCCTCGGGGGGAACGTCTGAGCCGTGGGCTCGAGGGGCTTCCATCACGTCCAGAGACCACAAAACAGCTTTTATCAGCGAGACCCAGCCAGCCCGTTGTGTCCTTACTGCTTCCTCAGAGCCTCAGACCAGCACCGGAGCTCAGTGTCCCCACGGTCACCACAGACATGACTGCGGCATCTCCTGGAGCCGTCAGTTATCGGGGAACTTAAAACCCAGTCCTGAGGGGCACACAGAATCCCAGTGGAGCCCCGCTCACCACCCGCGGCCGCGCCTGAGCTATTAGAAAGCAGATAAACGGAAGTCGGAATAAAACTGAGAGACAACCTTGAAGGGAGACCGGTGTGTCACCCGAGGGGCAGCACCGTCTCCTTGGCCTGAGGGTGGTGAGAAGTGGGTGCCGTGGCCGGGAGCCGAGGTGCTGGGCGCGTGCGAAACCTCGCCTCCCCGGGGCCTGCAGACGGATTTATTTCCCCTCGAACTTGGAGCCACCTCTGTCGTGTCACTCTTGGAAAGGTGGCGGCAGTAAGGCTGCCCAGACCACCTTCTATTCTTTTTTGCCGTTTTTAAAAACATTATTGAAATGTAACTCGTAGACCATACGATTCATCCGTTTAAAGAACACAATTCAGTGTTTTTGGTATGTTCACGAGGTTGTGCAACCAGCACCACAATCTAACATGGAACATTTTCGTCCCTCCTGAAAAACAAAACAAAAGCGAAGCCCACTAGTGGCCAAGCCGCATCCGTCCCGACCTGCGCCCCAGCGGCCACCAGTCTGCTTCCGGTCCCTGGGATCTGCGGGTCCCGGGCGTCTTGTTTAAACGGGTTGTCTGGCACATGGTCCCCACTGGCTGCTGTCACTCCGCAGGTTCCCAAGGGCCGTCCACACCGTCGCCTGTATCAGCCCTTTACTAACTTTCACCGCCAGATAATACCCCGTCGTAAGCATAGGTGATGTTTGGGTCCAGTCATCGTTTGATGGACATTTGAGCTGTTTCTGTGTTTTACCTGTTACGAACATCGCCGCTGTAAACACGTCTGTACTGTTGTTCCATTTTGAGACGTGAATTCAATCTGGTTCGATGGACAGCCTCGCCGTGGCGGGCTGTGGCAGCCATCTCGGTGGTCACATTCTGGGAGATGGCAGAAGGGCCTGGAGACATCTTTCTCCATGAGGGGCTGACCTGATATTAATCTTCGATTTAGCATTTAGTCAAACTCAATCATAGATCGGTAAGAGGACATTGTAGTCGTGGAAGGGGACTAGAGAAATGCCAGACCAGCGCTTTTGTGAACGTCCCGCCCACTGGCCGCAGCCCACGCAGGTGCAGCCCACGTGCTCTTTCTGCTGGTCTTTCGGCCCAGCTGTCCCAGCTTTCTGCTTCAGAATCAAAGTCAACGGGCAAGACCAGCGACCAAAAGGAGGACGCAGAGCCCAGAGCCAGGGCCGGGGCCAGGCCACAGCCAGCACTGCTGGGCTGGAAACACTGGAAGGCGTCCTGGGCCATCTGGAGATGGTGATGAGGCTGGCTGAGTCCCACGGGTCTTGGGTGCCAGCGGCGAGCGAGTGTGGGGCCCGCCCCGCCCGTGGCTGCACCTGTTCCTGCCCTCAGAGCCCTTCCAAGGACCTAAGTGGGCCAGCAGCTCTCCGTCCCCGCGCTGTCTGCCCCCCTGCTGGGAGGACGCTGAGCCCCCGTCCAGGTTCCCTCCTCGCCCAGGCCAGCTCTCAGAGCCATTCCCCTCCCTAATTGTCTTGGACCAGTTAATCGTTTCCCACGCTGACTGCTCAGTAACAAGGACCCGGGGAGAGCTGCCACTTCTCCGGTCTGACCCTGCGCAGCGTGGTCCCAGGGCAGCCTTGCCCCGGAGATGAGACGCGGGGCAGATCCTGGCTCTTTCGCCCTCCCGGTGAGAACAGGCAGGGGAAACGGGCCCCAGAAGGGCCCACCTGTGCTTGCCAAGCCTCCGCTCGGCAGAGCTGTGCAGAGCACCGCGGACCTCCAGCCACACGGCTGCTTGCGGTGTTTCTCCAGGTCCTCGTTGGCATCCAGGTGTCGGAGGAGTCGCGCGGGCCCAGGAAGCAGGGCGTCTTCAAGAGCGCCCCGGCCCCTCCGGGCTCCCGCTCTGCGTCTGGGCCCCCGAGTGGCCGCGGTTGGCCCGCTGGTGTCAGAGCTCCTCCCGAAGGGTCTCCCAGGCGGGTCAGCCTCAGACGTGAGCAGGGCCGACTTCCGCCTTCCAGCACACGAACGTGTGAGAAAGGCCTTGAATGTAAGACACACAGAAACCCAGCAGTCGGTGTTTCTCCTCCTTTTTTCACTATTGCCCCACCGCGGGGGCTCCTAAGACGTCGTTTTGTAGTTTGAAAATGTTTTTCCTAAGACATTTTTATTTCCTAACTTGTCCCCTCGCCCAGAACACCACAGAAATACCATTTACCTGTTTATTTACCCTGCAGACATCTGGGTTTTATCCATATAAAAGGTAAGATACTTTCGCCCCCAACAGCATGCCGGAGCCTCTCTGCCGACTCCGCCTCCCACCAACTCGGGGGTTTAGCTACTTTGCTGCTGTGGCCAGAGCCTAGAACAGTCCCTGGCATGTATCAGGGTGCCCAGCCGATGGAAGGATGGAGTCATTATGCTTTGTGCCTCCACCCCCGGCCCCCCAGCATCACGCACCTCTAGGCACAGCGGTCTCTTCCGGTGCCTCCCAGCACTGCCCAGGTTAGCGGATTCCTCACGCCGACCCCCAGGGACGTGTCAGGAAGCTGACAGCCTGCTCTTCTGTTCCAAGCACGGGGCCCCGCCCTTTGGTGGCACTGTCTGTGTGTCAGGGCAAGTGACATTTGAGCCCCGTGGAATAATTACAGCAGCCCCCAACTGTCTCTGTCTTTGCATCTCCTTAACTCACCCGTGGATTGGCAGTCTCTGAGACATTCTGTCTGGTCCAGCACGCCACACCGGGCTGCATCTGGGGACACGCCGGGAGAGGAGCGAGCGGTCCTCATCAGCAATTACAAACAAGCCCTCCATTGTCAGCCGCGCCATCTGCTTTCTGGGTTCCACCAATCGGGTGCCTGGACGCCCAGCATAGCCAGGGCTGAGGACTGCAGGGGAGGGAGGCCAAGGAGCCCCTGCGTGGGGAGACCGCTTGCTTGCACTGGAGAAGGTCAGCAGCCCAGGGCCCCAGGAAGCCCCTCCACTCTGGGAAGACCCCCGCAGAGATGTTCTTCGACTGCCGTCTTCTGTGAGCACACAGGGCGCTGGGGGAAGACGGGGCATCTGGATAGTCACATTGTCTAGAGGTTCCACAGGAACTTTTCTGGTCAAGCACCAGGAACCACACTGCCCGAGAACGTCTGTGCCCCCAGAAACCGAGCGCTGTGTAAAGAGGGAGCAGCCAGTGGTGGCTGGAAGTCAGGGAAGGCAGAGGATGCCACTGGATCGTTTTCATCAGTTACTTGTCCTGAAATTCCCAACCCCAGACAATTCTGGAGGGTTGGGAGGAGTGAATTTTCATCGACAGGTTGGAAAATCAGAGAAGTCCACATTCCTTTCGGAGAGCCCCACCTAGGATGTGTCAGAGGTGCCTCCTCCAGCAGCATCCATCTTCGAAGCTGGCCCTGGTCACTGTGCCAGCCTTGGCAGGCGAGGTCAGCAGACGATCCGGGTTTACAACTGTGGCCGTGCAGACAGCAGGCCATGTCACCGACAAGGGTCCTTTGTCTGGATGTGGTGGTGGTCTGGTGACAGTGAATTCGGAGCATTGTGGTGGTTGGGGTGAGGGGCTGTCCCCTGATGCGGAGAGAGGCTGCGTTTGCTAAGGAAACTCACATGGGAACTGGGGCAGCCGTGGGAGGCATGGGGTGATCAAGAAAGACGCTCACAGAGCACAGACGAGCTCAGAGCCTCTCCCAGGCTTGGTGGGACTGCCAGGCACTCACTGCTCTGTGAGTGAGGTGAGCTTACAGTCCAGTTTCGCCACTGCAGGGTTCCCTCTGCAGCCACCTCTGCCCAGCACGCCGTGTGCTTCCTCCCTGAGGACCGTCACACCACAGGTGACACCTGTACCGAATCAGCACGCTGTGTGCCACTCCAAAGCCCATAAATGAAGCTGAGAGCCACATAAACTTGGATACTTTATTTTTTCAGGTCATCCATTGACTTCCAACTCTCATCTTTGACTGTGTTTTAGGCCAAATATTTAGGAAATGCTGGCCGGGAAGTGGGGGGAGGATACAGTGGTCAGTGCCGCCTGGTCACTGGGGCTCCCAACAGCATCTGTCCCGCATCCTAGGAGAGCCAGTGTCACCTTCATGTCACACTGAGGCGTGTGGCGGCAGCTCCACTCTGTCCTTCCAAGTCGAAATTTAGGTGAATTTCCAGGGCGTGATGCTCTCCGAGGCTGCAGGGACGCTCAGGCAGCCCAGGGGGGAGCATGTGATGAGCACCGTGTTCGTGAGTTGGGAGGTGCGGGCTTGTACTCATTTGATTTTATGTTCTTTCCTGCAGATTAAAGAACCGAAGGGTCTCCCCGCAGGATTTGAACAAGGTAAGACTGACACTTCAGCAGATTTGCTCAACCGCCCTGCTCCTCAGGGACCCTCCTCCCTTCCTCCGTGGCTGACATGGCACTGAGATGCCCCCACCGGTTCCTGCCACCCCACCACCACCACTGAGGGGCTCTGCCCACGTGTCTGTGCTGCCCACCCGCCCGGGAGACCCGGCCTCGCCTCACTCCTGCCCCTGTACTCTGGGCGGAATCAGACACCAACACCTGCCATCCCAGAAAATGTCTTTGTCGCCGCCCTTTTGTGTGCAGGGCCTCGGGGAGCCCGGGGACCGGGGCCTCCCCCTTTTTTGTTGCCGAGCCAGGAGGAGCGGGGTCTTGAGATGGGCCGATAAGACGCGGCACGTGCGGGCCGGCCTTTGACCGCTGGCCTTCGCGGGGCCCCCGAGGCCTGGGATGGGGGGCAGGCTGTCCTGGGTGTGCTGAATGGAGCAGCTGGGAGTGGGAGAGCAGACAAAAGCTGGGGGAGCACAGAGGGCGGAGGACCCCGCATGGCTGCAGGGTAGGGCCCAGAGGGCAGGCCGGCCGCGGCAGGTGTGGCCTCCGTGGGCCTCCCCATTCTGCCCCGACGGGGTCCGGGCCCTTCCCGTGTGCACCGATGGCAGCGGCCACCTCCCGGCCGTGCCAGCAGAAAACCCAGTGGGGTGGCCGGCTATACTGGCTCGTGGGTCCACCGGTGGAAAGGGGACCGGGGGACGATGGTGCGGAAGGTCAGGGAGGGGCTGTCATTTTCAGCCCCGTCACCCCAGGGGGGCGGTGGTGCAGACGCTGCTGCTGAGTGAACGCGGACGCCGGAGGTTAGGTCTAGATCCTTGGTTTACGCTCCTCGCCCGGGAGGGGCCGCTGGCTTAGGGAGCTGACCCTCCCACCCGGCTGCTCTTTCTTAACCCCACCAGCAGCAGGGATTCATGCAGAAGCCTGTGTTTGCTGGGAGACCCCCCCAACCTGCGTCCCCCAGCTCTTGCCGCAAAAGCAGCAAAGTGGGGCTTCGGTGTCCTTTGGACAGACCCGGCTCCCCACAGGAGGGACAGGCCGAGGGGGTGCAGGAGTGCAGTCACCCCTGTTAGAGGCGGCCCAGCATGCTCGGTCCGCGGCTGCTGCTTCCCCGTCAGTCATGGGTGCGGCCGGCCTGGCAGGAGCCACTGCCAGCCGGGAGGTGCCAGCGGAAAGGCGGGGACCCGAGGAACGCGGGACCTTCCCGGGGGGCACTGCCCTCCCGTGGCTGCATAGCTTCAGGGCTCGTCCAGGGTGGCAGCGCCCCCTGCCCCCCACGCTGCCGTGCTAGGACCTTGAGGGGCGCCCTCTGGCCTCCTTGGTAGGGGTGGGGGGCTCAGTGTTTCCCTTCTGACCCAGAATTACTCTCACTTAATATCAGATCTTTGAAAACCACTTTCTCTCTCATTTACTTGTTTGTTTTGTTTCCGTCTCCCAATGGCTCCGCTTACAAAGTGGGTGGCGTGGGTCCTAGTTAGCAACGTTGAGGTCTCGTAGCTTGAAGGGGCCGTATTTCAAAATGGAGTTTTACCTGGGATTGAATCAGGGTTGTTCGCTCGCCGCCCCTGCGCCTTGGGACCCCACGCTGATGCCCACCTCCGGCTGCAAGGGGCTGGGACGATGCCCGTCACCAGTGCCGTCCCCGCTTCGGGTGACAGCACGGCTGTGCTGCGTTTGTTAAAAGCAGCCCGGTTTCAAGGACGAAAGCAGCAGGAGAGGGCCCAGAACTCCTCTCTCTGCCCAACCTTCCTGGGACCTGAAGGGAGGAGACAGCGAAGCCTGGGCTGGGGGATCTCGGTTTCATAGCAGCACCGGGGAGGGCGTCTCCTCCAGTCCAAGCGTGTTCACAGGTACTGACCTCAGAGGCTCTCCCTGGAAACAGTGAGGTGAGGGCAGAAAGTGAAAGAAGATGCTGTCTGTGCGAAAGATAACTTAGGTAAATTAATTTCAAAGGCCAGTAGTCATAAAAATGTCAAAAGCCAAAGCTCTGGAAGTGAAGCAAGCCGGAGGAGGTTAGAAAGTCTGCTTTTGAGGAAGCGTGGAGTGTCACCCAGCAGGGTTTAAAGATAGGTTACGAGGGGAAGGGTGATGAAACGGGCCTCCCTTGAAGCCCGGCCCCAGGGACCCGTGTCAGCAACAGCGGCCGAGTGTTGCAGCAGCCGGCGCCCGGGTCCCTCTGAGCACTGAGCAGCCCTGCGGGGGGGACACGCAGGCAGCCCTGGGGGGGCAGGGCACGCAGACTCCAGCTTCATTCCTTTCCCTCCGGAGCTCAGCAGCGGTCCATCAGTCCCGACCTCCCATCTCCGGCTCCTGGGGGAGTAGAGTTTGTACTCGTGGTGCAAAGCCCCAGTATGTCAGCCTATGTAAGAACACCAACGGGTCCCACCCTTCAGGTCCTCCTGCTTCTCCACTGGCTCTGGGCAGAGATGCTCCATGCCCGCACTGCCCGCACTGTCATCAGGGCCTTTTCTCTTCCGTCTTTGTTTGCAGACTGGACCGTGAGGCCCAGTTAATTTGCAAAAGGTCCACAGCTCCTTTCACACCGCGGGCAAGCCCAGAGCAAAGGCCGGGAGCGGGGAGGACCTCGGTGTGTGGATTCGTCCAGCATTCGTCCCAGTGCTGGGCGCAGGGCGGGGTCCAGTCCGCTTCCCAGGCCGTGTCTTGAGACCCACACCCTGCCTCCAGCCTGCGCCCACGAGCCTCCCTCTGCTTCCTTCCAGGACCTGGCCACCGAGATGAGCCTCCGGGGGAGGAGCAGAAGAGGAGATGTCCCTTCCCCACCCGAACCCCCTAACCCAGACTCTGGGGATGCTGCGGCTCTGCGGGCGCCCTCAGCGTGTCTTCCTGTTCCCGGGCTTCTGAAGTGAGAGGAGCCCCACCAAAGTGCTGCAGATCGGACTTTCCAGCTGGCAGTGGCGTCTCATGTGCCTCGGGCTTTGGAAGAAGAAAAGAAAGGGCTCCCCCCCAACCAGCGATGAGCGCACTGTCATGTGGCGCCGGGGGTGGGGGGGCTGCCCGCCGAGGAGACAGAAGGTTCCGGGCTCTGGGGGAGGGTGGGGGGCAGCCGGCTCCACACCCCGGCCGGCTCCTCTCGTCTGTAAGCCCTCCCTGCTTCGCCCAGGGGCCCGCAAAGCTCCTGATGTTGCTGCAGAGAGGTTTTCCCTGCCTTGGTGTTGCTGGTGCTTCTGTGAGGATTCCTGCTTTACTCAAAAATTTCATCATCGTGGAAATTGGCTTTCCCTCGGGTCCGGAGCCCAGGAGAAGTTTTACCTCCCCTGCTGTGTTTCCTTCCACCTGGTTCCCGCCGCCCGCTACCTCCGGAGAGGCTTCCTGGCCCTGGCTGTGCCGGGGTGACGGTGAGGCGCCCAGCAGAGAGCGCGCAGGTGACCAGAAACGGAGGGTCCTGCCTGCAGAACCCCCCGCGGGTCAGGAAGCCGTCCAGGCGTCCGTGTGGCCTGGGCGCTGGCCTGAGACAGGCCCCTGGAATGTGCATCCGCCTCCAGAGGCCTGGCCCACGCTGGCGGCCATGCCGGCTGCCCTGAGGGCCTCACACCCAGGTCCCGGCTCCCGGAGTGTCGGGTGACAGATCCCCAGAAAGGGGGCTGAGCCCTGCTTTTTACCCATTCAGCTCCAAGGAAGCCCGGGTGTGCCCGTTTTTTAAAAAAGAAAAGCTGAAAGTGAAAAGCCCCACCCCCCACGTGCGCTTGCCCGGCGCCCTTGGTGGGGTCAGCGAGTGTTGGGTGCAGGCCTCTGCTGGTCACCTAGGCCATCAGGCCGTCTCCAGGGTGACAGCCTTGGGCTCAGAGTGCAGGAGCCGCCAGCTAAGGGCCCAGAGGGTCTCCATGTGGGGGCTTCCCCGCCCTCCCCTGCCCTCTGCCTCCCAGCTCTTGCCCCCACCCGCGTGTACCCCGGCCTGCCGTGGCCACCTGCCTGGGGGTTCCTCCGAGCCCCGAGCCCCAGCACAGTGGCCACCTTCACTGACTGTCAGCTACCCAGTTGGTTTGGCTGGGACCTGACCTTTGCAGGAGAAACAGGCCGACCAGGAGCCAGCCTTGCTCTGGGGGCAGCGAGACAGGGTTGACAAGGCCATTCCTGTGAGAAGGAGGGGACCCTGCATTCTGGAGAGAGCTGGTTTCTCTGCTTTCCAGGGGCCTGCGGGTGGGGCTCGAGGCCCCCAGACCGGGGCAGCTGGAGCGCTGTCTGCACCAGAGAGAACCAGAGACGTTTCCCAGGCCAGCGTCGCTGGGGGCTCAGTGGTAACATGAAGGTGACCGGAAGTGGCAGCGTTTTCTGTTGCCAGCAAATGTCCCGATTCCTGTTTTCCTCCGCACCGCCCCCACCCCCAGGGTGCAGCGACGTGGGCTTTCTGGCCGCACCGCTTGGCCCACGTGGCTCAGACTCGACACTGCTGTGCCGTCTGCTGTTTACAGAGCTCCCAGCCCTGATTCCGGCAGGAGAGCAGCCCTCGTTCCTGGGCTCCGGAGTCCCACCTGGGCTCGGAAGTTACAGCTTCTGGGGGAATGTTTCACCTTCAGGCTCTAGAAGATCCCCCATTGCAGAATTCCTGAATTTGGTCAGTGTCAGGACTAGGAAGGCCTATTAAACTCCCCTGGACTTTGCTCCGTGGTTCCGTTTTCTCTCTAGGAACCAATCTCCCCGACCTGTCGTGGGAAAGTCAGTTGTGGGTAGCAGGTAAGTAGATCTTCCTAGAATCCCTGAGGATTTTGACAACCTCGTGACCCCAGGTGACAGCCAGCAGGTTCACGGCTACTCTCAGTAACAGCTTTGGCTTAGAGATTTGGAACTGGGGAACAGGGAGTCTGACAACCAGGTTTGCTTGCAATCACGTGGACTTGAATCATTTTTGTTATTTGGGGTGGAAAATTGAAATGATCAAGTTTGTTCTTTTCTCAGAAAAGCAAATATTGTGCTTCTGTAATAAATGCCTTTCAGCAAAATTGCAAAAGCCGAGGATCACTCATCCGGGGGGGACCCACCTGAGTCACAGTGCTGACTCGTCACATTAGTAGGTCAGCCGTCTGTAAAGAAAAATGGCCCTAATTGGCCCAAAATGGGTAAGACTCGCCAGCCTCCAGGCAGGGCCAGCCCAGTCCCTCTCCTCTCTTTGCTGATCTCCACCTAAAGCAAAGCTGGTGTTCAGTAGTCCCACTGAGTAGGTTTTCATACTTAAAAAAATATATAGTAATTCCACAAAATGATGGCATTTTAAATAGTGAAACCTTACTCAGGCGTGAGGATCTCAGCTTGGGGGAGTGACTAGCGCAGTGGTTAAGGCCGCGCTTGCAGAGAGCCAGAGGGAAGGAGGGGCTTCAGACTTGACTCTGTGCGCGGGGCTGATGGATCCGCCTCCGCCTCACCAAGGAGACGGTGCGGGTGTGCAGACACGGCGGGTCGCGTCTTCCTGACAGTCCTCGGGCGTGAACCCCGCGCTTCCTGTCCTGTCCTATCTGTGTCTGGAGGTCTGAGGGATTCTTCCACGCGCACTGCGATGTCTCACGCGTGGCTGTGTTACCTTTTGTAGCTACTGAAGGGGGTCTGTTCGCATCTGCAGGGAAAACGCAGCAGGAAACAGCCACGTTCTCGTCGCGCTCAGTATGGCCCACACGTGAAACGGATGCTTTCCTCTGTCTTCAGGTCTGCACTATTTAGTACATGCACATAAGGGGAAAAAATTGAGAAATACGGTAAATTAAGTTATAGTGCGTCGTTTGATTTTTATTTTGCTTCTCTCGTTATTTAATTTTCCTAATGCTCCACATCTGGGCTTAGACGGGCCTATCACCCACTTTGCAGGCACGTGTGGGCGGGGCCGCACCGCGGGGGGCGGGGCCCAGGCTCCCTGGCGACCGCTCAGACTCTCCAGTTTAACCTCTTCCTGTCTGATTTACTGTGACGACTTAATAAAGTAGAAACAGCACTTCTGTGCCACGTGTTTGTTTTGTTCTCATGATAGTTTGTAGGAAGTTTATCCTGGCATCTAACAAAAGGTGGTTTACATCTTTATCAGACGAAGATGTTCAAAAGCATTTGCTTTTAACCAAAGCCTAAAGATGTATCCAAAACGGTGGCCAGTACAGACACAGGGAAGATGACAGGTACGTTTTTGTAAAAGTGACCTCTCGGGTCATAAGACGGACACTGGGAACCACTCACGGGAGGACTCGAGCCCCTGCGTCTCTGACCACGTGCATCACAGTCCATCCCCTCGCCGGGGTCAGGTAGCCGGGCCTATATCCCTGCGCTTGGTGTCCAAGGCCCAGGATGAGCCCGGCTGTGGCCCCGCTCCTCCAGGGCAGCCCCCTGCGCCAGCGCCCTTCCAGAGCCCTTCCAGAGCCCCGGAGTCCCTGACCCTGGTAGTGAGAGGCCAGCCTCGAGGGTTTGTCTCATGAATGAGCAACAGACAAGAGGTAATAACGAAATAACGCCCCGCGGTGCGGCTGAAGCCGGGCTGCGGCCCCACCTCAGGACCCCAGCTCTCACATTCAGACCCCTCCGCCGGGTGGGCCCTGCCAGCATCCGGCTGCTCCCCTGCTCTGGGCAGCAGGGAGCTTCCAGGACGTTAGACAATCAGGCTTTGTCAAAAAGCATCCATTTGTCCAGTTAGCAAATACTTGTTGAGCACGTGTACTTCGGAGACGTTTTGGTGACCTCACCAGGGACCCAGGTGCCTTTTTCAGCTTTTGCAGGAGCAGGAGCTCGGAGGTCCGCTGTACTTTCGGTCCGCGGATCCTCGTCGAATGTAGCTCGGTGCGGTTTCTGAGCTCCGCGGCCCGGAAGCAGTGGGTCACTGTGGTTCCTGTAAGTGATCCTGGTCATCTTCAAAAAATACTCACCACATCTCAGACCATATTTGCAGATCTTCAGCAGAATTCTGAAAAGACTCCAACTTCCAGTGGTTCCAAAAGGACCCCTCGTACAAATAATGCTCTTCTCGGCCGTTCTTGGCTTTCGCTAGACGCTAGACTTTAAAGAAAAACTAGCCTTCGGGTGCAGCCTGGTCCTGGTGTAATTCTCCAAGCATTGCAGGGAAGGGCCGGCGGTTTTCGCACCTGCTGCAGCAGAGAGCGTCTCTGAGGGGTGCGACTCAGGTAGTTTTCACCTTCGTACACACGTGAGCTAGTGATACGGTGCTCGGTGTGTGTGTGAACGAAAGTGAAGCCACGTTGATTTATTAAACAGTTTATGTCAAGGGGAACAATTATCATTCACTCTTCTTCCTATAAATAGAAATGGTCTTAATTGCATTTCATTTTTCAAATCAATAAGCGAAGGCCGTGGAAATGGAGCCCAGCGGACTTCGTCGGCGCATCTGGTTCGCCGGAAGCACCGCCGCTGCGGCCCCAGCGCCTCCTGCAGACGCTGGAGCTGAGTCTCCCCGGGGAGGCGGACTCGGGCAGGGGCTGGGTGGCCCGGGCCCCATTTCCCGGCGGCAGCCCTCCCGCTGAGCGGCAGCCCCTGTTCTGAACCGGTGCACAGGCTGTGGGAAATGTAGCTGCCGCGTTCCCTTCAGCCGCCATGCAGGTTTCCCTGACGGCTGAGTCTGCAGCCGCCCTGACCCTCCGCTCACTCGGACCAGGCCCAGCTCGGAGCAGGGCATTCGCTTACCCCGAGACTCTCCCTCCAGGCAGAGAACAGGGTACTGGCTTTGCCCGTCTCTGGGCCTCGGGGAACCACTGGGTAATTCCTCTCCAGAAAGACACATTGCTCCTGTCCTCAGGTCTGAGCGATAGACTTGATGGCCAAGAACCAGGGGCAGATGTGGGCTCCCCGTGCTTATGGCGTGACGCTCGGTGGCCTGCTGCCTCTGAAGGACCTCCTGCCCCCTGCACACGTGTCTCCAGGACCATTTAGCACTTGGGACAGTTTGGCCAAAAGTCTCTGTTCGTTTCTCCCACAAAAAGTTTTATGTTCGGGAGTTGAAGCAAAAGAAGTGGCCTTAAAGGACAGCCCTCGAGTACAGTAGGAAGAGCCCTGGTCCCCAAACCCTCAGCAGACGCCCTCTGCGTGTGGCCTGCGCAGCCTCGCCGCACCTTCTGCCCCAGGTGACACAGCAGGACCAGCTGATGACCCCGGAAGTTGGGCTGTTTTATTTTATTTCATTTTATTTTTATTTATTTTATTTTTTAACGGAGGTGCTGGGTATTGAACCCAGGCAGGACCTCGCGCACACTAAGCATGTACTCTAGCACTGAGCGATTCTCCTTCCTCCCATTTTAGGTAACCTGTTTTTTAATCTTTTTTTTTCCCATCTTTTTTTTTTTTTTTTTTAGTTGGGGGGTACTTAGGTTTATTTATTTATTTATTTATTTATTTATTTATTTATTTATTTATTTATTTTTAGAGGAGGTGCTGGGGATTGAACCCAGAACATCATGCATGCTAGGCATGTGCTTTACCACTTGAGCTACACCCTCCCCTCTCCCATTTTAAATACTAGTCTCTGCCCCAAATCAAGTGTTCTCAGACGTGCACACCAGAACAATCTAACAGCAGCCACGAAAGGAGCAGGAACTCTGAAATGATAATCTTTTGGAGAATTATAAAAGAATTTTCTGGAATTGGAGCTGGCTTCCTTTTTGTTGTTAACATTTTAAATTAAGAATACTTTTAATCCCTAAGTCTCCACTATCCTGAGTTAAACTGGAAGAGATGAAGGGGTGAGCGTTTACAACCAGTTTTCATGTGAAGAGATACTTGTCTGGAAGATTCTGCCTCTTACAAGGGAGAAATTAGGAAGTCAGCATCCTCCTTTACCATGTCAGATGTGGAAAACACTGACTGGATTCCTTTTTTGGACATTGAAACCAAAATATTCCCATTTCAAATACCAGATGACATTGTGTATGTGATCAAAATTCTATTTAAAACATTATTTTAGGAAATAAAGGATAAATGAATAAATCCTCTGGAACAAGAATGCTGTCCCCATGTGCCCAGGTGTAATTTTCAGCCTTCCACTCGTACGTCCCACCTCCCCCTCCAGCAGGACGCTGGTTGAGTTTACAGAGAACCTTTTACATAAAGAGGTCACACCTGCCGGCTTCCACCTTGACAGCAGGGTCGGGGGAGGGAGGGGCTGAAAAGTGGAAGTGGTCTCACTGTGGGCGTGAAGTGGCAAGAGGCCTGCTATTACAGCTCCTGAAAGGACCTTTCTGACTTCAGAAAATAGCCTGGCAAAGAAAAGCTTTTTTTTCTGTGAATACTCAGGGACTGCGTTCTGCGGCTGGGCCGGCAGAGGTGAGTACTTGGATCAATATTCCCCCAGAAATGGCCGCTGGGCTAAGCGCAGGCAGGGGGCCGCCCAGCAGACCGCCCTCCCGCCCTCCCCCGAGCGGGCGCCGCGCCGCAGCGTCCTCTCTCGGGCACCTGGAAGCAGCCAGGGCTGCGCGTTAACAGCATCACCCCCTCTGCCCTTTAAACAAGACCACTTCATCTTCCTCGCTGGTGGGCGATTGCAGGCCCACGGGAAGCAGCTACTTTGGTCGCTTCCTTCAGGGAGGTCTTGGCATCTTCATCTTGGGCACCAGGAAGAGTGAAGACCTGGAGCTGGAGGAGAGGGCAGGTGCCAGGAAGAAAATGCAAAACGAGCTTTTCTTAATCAATAAGATTGATTTACTGATCACTACTGAGATTTTTAATGAAGTAGCCCATGTAGTGATTTGTACTTCCCACTTTGTGCTCTGTGTGTTTTTCCCCTTCTCAAATGACTGACCTGCCCCGCTTCCAGCCCCTGGTCACTGGCAGATTTTCTGCAGATTAATGCAAACTCACACAAAGATACAGCCTTTCCTTTTTAACAGAAGCAGCAGCAGACAACACACGTCACTCTGTAACTTCCTCTGTAAACCTCACGAGATGCCTTGGGCATCCCTCCCTTGACTTGTCCTTTTTAATCATTGCGTATTATTCTTTATGTAGATGTAACTTTCTTAAACGTCTGTGGACATGCGGGTGGTTTCCAGTGTTTCTTAAAACAAGGGCACCCGTGATCGGTACCGTCTCACCGTCTAGCTGACACACAGCTGCCTTTACTTCTGCAAGATAAATTCCCAAACGCGAAATCACCACGGCAGAAAGTAGGCGTGATTTCTTTGTGAATTTTTTAAAATTCTTTTATGTTTAGCTTTGTGTTGATTTTTAGGGGAGCCAAGTATTTTCCTCATGTTTCGTTACCAGCTCTAGGTGGGTACTTGTGAACTGGGTGTTCATCTCCCCTGCTGATCTGTAATGATCTTCATGTTTTCCTTCTCAATTTTTATGAGCATTTATGTAACTAAGTTTGTAGCAAAACACGCTTTTTCATAGTTAGCTCTTAGTGTTTGCTACTTTTTCAAGTAAAAAATGTAAAGTATGAAAAAATAAAGGAAAGAAGATGCAGTTTTAGCCCTAATAGACTATTTGGTCGTTTTAGAATTCTGTAACATCAGTTTTCAGGGTCTATAAAAAGAGGGAAGCCAAAATTCATGTGTTCCTGTGTTTGCAGGAGGAAACTCAGTAAGTTACCCATCAGCTTAAGAAAAGGAAACACTGTTGTCAAGGGGGGCACCCAGGTACAAGGCAGAATTCCAGCCGCAATGAAATGAGGCAGTTATAGACGAGGAAAGTCAGGCCTCCAGTCAGCTGGCCCACCCCATGGCCCGTGTCCCTTTCCGTAACTGCATGCCAAGGAATTTCCTGATTTGGAAGAAATTTTCTGAAAATA